TTGCAAATACTTACTTAATTTCAGTTGGTGTGGTAAATAGCTATACATGTCATGTTCACAGTGATTTTAGCTTATTTATTTTGCTTGCATATGCATGGCTCCATAAGTGTTTAGACACCAAGAAATCAGTTACAAGGTCTTCCTAACCCCGCTTGGTTACTTGAATTTGAGGGGAGAATTTTTTTGTTTTTATTACAAATAGTTTGGAAATGACAATGTCTTGTGATAGTGATGATGACAAAAATGACTATAACAGTTTTAAAAACAAAAACTTAGATTTCACCAAAAGATTAAGGAAAGGAGTAAGCAAAGAAGGTCTGGTAAGTCATGGGGACTGAGTATTTTGAAACCCCATCAAGGTATAAACAAAATTGAAAAAGCAAAACTATAGTGTGCATCACAGAGTTTAAACAGTGAAAAGCAGGACCTATCATTCATCACCATAATTATGACCATTGTGTGTACAATTTTTAGACTGCTCTTGTGATATGGTATCCATCCAAGCTATGAATTGTCAGAAAGCACTTGATGTAGTTTTGTTGATGTTTTTCCAAAACACAGAATGTACACAGACCATAGTGCCTTCTTATCTCGGTTTATTTATGTGGAAGCTTTTTGAGTTTCACTTCAGGACAACTGTGTAATAATAAAGAAGTCAGTTTCATTAAGTCTGTCAGTTCTATGCATTGTTTACTTTAGCCTACATTCATGTCTAAAACTGGAATTTTACTTAGATATTTCAGTTAAGTCACTCAGCTTCATAACTAGAGTATGTTTTCAGATATTAAAGTGAAAGAGCAAAGCTTGGAGAACCTCCTAAGGGGACGCAAGATCTTCGAACCCCCTCACTACATGAGAGTACACCAAGCTGCCCAACAACTGCTAACTATCCTGCAAAGGCACAGCAGTAACCCTGCAACCAGTGGGAAAGATCCAGTGGGCGAGGATGAAATGCAGCTGACTGAGAATACCCAGTGTGTGGGCATCGTGAGGGTTGGCACTAGCTCACAAAGGATCATGAGAGGAACGTTGAAGGGTGAGGCAGATCATTGTTTTGATTCATATAGTCCTTCATGCCTAAATATTGCATTTAATGATGTCTGTGTTTTATGACCTTTCCATTGAAGTGGATTGTTCTGCCATTTATTTCTTCATAGTTGAAACTACATATTTTTCTTGCTTAGAAATAATGAAGAGTCAACAAAAGAAATTCATACACACACACACACTCACTCACTCACTCACTCACTCACTCACTCACTCACTCACCACTCACCTCACTCACTCACTCACTCACTCACTCACTCACTCACTCACTCACCACACACCACACACACACACACACACACACACACACACACACACACACACACACACACACACACACACACACACACACACACACACACCACACACACCACACACGCACATACCACACACACCACACACACA